TGAAAAGGTACTACCGTAGAAATACTCGTGGAACCTTTTCACTCCGGAGATGACTGCTAGGGCTTCCTTGTCCAGCTGGCTGTAATTCCTCTCCGGCTTGGACAGCGTTCTCGAGAAGAAGGCGATGGGTGCTTCTTTCCCGTCCGGTAATGTGCAGCTGAGGATCGCCCCGACGCCAAAGGTTGACGTATCGCATGTTACCGTCAGCAGCAGGGTCTCGCTATACTGGATGAGGACTGCGTCTGACGTTAGTAGGTTTTTGGTCTGTGTTTTCCTCCCCTTCCCCCAGGTCCAGCCCGCTGTTTTATCCAACGGCCTATGCAAAGGTTCTGCCGCGGTCACCTTTTGGGGTAGGAAAACATTATAAAAGTTAATAAGTCCCCAAAACGCCTGCAGTTCCGCCTTATTCTTTGGTGTGGGGGGCTTCCTTGATGGCTCTGAGTTTTTTTTCAGTGGGGTGGATTCCGTGTCGGTCTAGGAGATACCCCAAGAATTTGACCGTCTCGGTGCAGAGTTGGCATTTCCCTTTTTAAACTTTAAGGCCCGAGTCTTTGAATTTCTGCAGTACCGCCCTTAGGTGGTTTTCCAATTGTTCTTTGTTGGCGGCTGCCACCAGCACGTCATCAAAGTAGGGCACCACTCCTTTTATTCCCTGGAGGAGTCTTTCCATGAGGCTCTGGAAGACTCCTGGTGTGACACTGACTCCGAATTGGAGTCGGTTGCATCGGAAGGCCCCCCAGTGTGTTACAATCGTTTCGGCATCGACCGGCAGTTGCTGGTAGGCTTGAGCCAGGTCGAGCTTCGCAAAGACCCAGCCTCCCCCCAGTGAGTGCAGGAGGTGCTGTACCACTGGGACGGGATAGGCACTTTGCTGCAGGGCATGGTTGAGGGTAGCCTTATAGTCACTACAATTCTTATGGAGCCATCCAGTTTGATGGGAGTGACTATGGGTGTTTCCCAGTGGGCATGGTCAATTGGCTCTAAGATCCCTTGCGCGATGAGCTTGTCTAGCTGCTCATCGATTTTGGGCTTGAGCGCAAAAGGCACTCGCTGCAGTTTAAGGCAGATTGGGGCAACGTTTAGGTTGAGGTTGAAGGAGATTGGGGACCCCCGGTACTTGCTTAGGGTGTCGTAGAAGACCTCCTGGAAGTCCTTCACGAGTGCCGCTTCCCACTCCGCCTCGTTAGTGTGGTGAATGCCCATCACCTCGATTCCCAGCGGGGAGAACCATTGCAGTTCGAGCAGGCTGGGACAGTCTTTGTCCACGATCGTGAGTGGCAGTACTGCGGTGTGGCCTTTGAGGGTGATTTTAAAATGTCCGATGCTGACTACAGAGATGCGGTTTCCCTGATAGTCCTTCAGGGTCAGCTTCTGGCCGTCCAGTTCACGGCGGTGGATGGTAGGCACCAGGCGTTTGATTGTGCGCCAGGAAACCATGGAGAGGTAGGATCCGGAGTCCACCTCCATTTTGCATGTTTGGCCCTCATTGCCTACCTCCACGTGTACCTTCCGGGCGTCGATGGTTGAGGAATGGCTGATGATGACCGTCTGGTGGGTTTCCTCTCTTCGTTGCGCCTTGCTGAGTCATTTGTTCTGGCCGTTGAGGCTCCATTGGCTCTTGACTTGATGGTCTCGGTTCTGGGGGGGTTGCCATCTCATCGCCGGGGGCTGCTGCCTCGTCGCTGGGGGCTATAGTTCCGCTTGTTCCTGCATACTTTGGAGATGTGCCCCCGCTTCTCGCAATGCCAGCAGATGGCATCGAGAAAACAGCATTCGGAGCAGAGGTGATCGCCGCCGCAGCCAGCACAATGGAACCCTGATTTACGTCCCCTCCGGTCCTGCCGATCACGTTCCGCCTGGAGCCAGTGGATCTCTTCTTCCTCGTTGTCGGTGTCGGAGTGGAAATCAATGTCACCATGGTGGGTGGTGGTTGCCCAATGGCTGGTCTCCGCATGCCTCTCCGGTGCTGGGGCCGTCTCAATGGCTGTCGGTCGATCTGCTGCGTTCGCTTGCCTCATCCGGGCCACGATTTGCGGGTGGCCTCGGCGGCAGTTGCCTCTGCAAGGGTGTCAGTGAGGGAGATGTTGCCCTTGGCCATTAGCCTGCTTTGTAGTGTGGGGTCTCAGAGTCCGAGGATGACTCTGTCTCACAGGGCTTCATCCAAGTCGGTAAACCCGCACAGGCCTCCGAGATCCCTCAGCTGGGCCACAAAGTCACTGATGGACTTGCACTGACGCTGGTCTTGCTGGTAGAAATCGTGCCTTTGGATAAGGGTGGGCAGGGGCATAATGGTGTCTTAGGATGGGCTTGAGGTTGGCCGAATCCATTTCTTTTACGTCGGTGGGCTTTGCCAACGCTTTGACCATCTTGAACACTGCGGGCCCACAGTGTGTCAAGAACATATCTCGTTATCTCTGCCCGTTAGCATCCTTAAGGTTGCTGCACTCCAGGAACATCTGGAACTGGTCGGTGTAGGATTCCCAATCCTCAGTGGCCAGGTTGAAGGGTGTGGGTGGCTGCTGGCCATCTTGCTGGTTGTTTTGCATCATTTGCAACGTGCTTGTTGGTCTCTCATCTCACGATCCCACCTTCGTCGCCAGTGTTAGATCAGGTAGATCGGGTTCATAGAGACGCGAGACTCAAAGTGAACAATCAGCTCTTTATTAAGGGATTTAGTTCTGAACAACGATGCGGCTCGCGGCGGCTTTTCATATAGAGCCAGCTCGCGGCTCGGCGGCCAATGACATCGCTCTGAATCTCCCGCGATCAGCTTGGCCGATCACGGTAGATTCTTAGCGCACCAATCACGGTCGCTCAGTTAGCCAATCAGGTTGTGGTCCATGTGGACCAATCAGATTTCAGGATTTGGGGAATGTTAATATAGAACAGAGTCCAACTACATCTTAAAACCCAAATTAAAGGATGCTTGCAGGCAAGCAGAACTAGTGTTAACATCCAGATAGGCAGGGATTCACACAAACAGTCCAGCAAAAACAGTCAAGGCACTACCAAAGAGAAAACCACCGTCCTACCAATACTGGCAGAGCAAAAGACTATATATTAACAGGGAGAAAATCCCACATTCACCAATAGGGATGAAGTTCCCTAGTCAGGTAAAGAAACATTTCCTCGAGAAGTAAATGACACCCCAACAAAGGAACTATCAACTCAGACGAAGAAGCTGACAATAAACAACAGCCTAATTAATGAACTACCATGAAGAAAACAACACTCCCACCAACACTAACAAGACAACCACTTGTATATAAACAGCGAGCAATCTGCAATCTTCTTTCTAATATTGATGATGTTATCTAGTTGGGTTATGAAATGTCTGCAAGAAAACAACCAAGCTCACAGAACAGCGAGGGTCCCACAATCCAATCTTCAGCTACACTTACAACTATTTTCTTCTACTGACAGCCCAAAGAGGGACACTGAGAAGGAGTCAGATACCAGCTGTTGTGACAATTGTGACGACTTAATTGCTATCCATTGTCAATTACAAGTTTTTAATCTCTTTCTTACCACATGCCATCTTTTAGTTAAGCCTAAGTATCAGCTGAGAAGCACAAGGCCAACGGTTTTCCTGCGGACACACATATCATCACCAACAATACGGTAATTAAAAGATTAGAATAGCAGTAACAGCCCAACAGATTAGAAAGGGACCTTGGAGGTTTTCTAGTCCAACCCTCTGCTCAAGCAGGAGACCCTAGACCATTCCAGACAAATGGTTGTCCCATCTCCTGGGTTGAAAACTTCCATAATCACCGAAGGCTTCAAGCCCTTTCACAGGTTGATTACTCTCAGGACGCTGACATTCAAGAATGGAAGACAGTTTCAAGTTTATTGCCAAACTTTTACAGATAGTCCTCAACTTACAACAGTTTGCTCAGGGACCGTTCAAACTTGTAACAACACTGCAAAAAGTGAGTTATGACCATTTTTCCCATTATGACAATTTCAGATCCCCCTGGTCAAATGATTTACATTTGGACGCTTGAAATCTGACTCACATTTATGACAATTGCAATGGCTCGGGGACACGTGATCAAAATTCATTGGCAACTGGTTCATATTTATGATTGTTCCAAGGTCATGAAATCCCTTTTTGCGACCTTCTGACAAGCAAAGTCAATGGGGAATCCAGATTCACTTAACATCCATGTTACTAATTTAACAATGCAGTGCTTCACTTAACAAATGTGGCAAGAAAAGTCGTAAAACAGGGCAAAACTCGCTTAACCAATTTCTCAGCAACATAAATTTTGGGTTTAATTGTGGTTGTAGGTTGACGATTTGACTGAATTGCATGTAGAACCCATATCTATAAAATAAATACCAAATCATAACCATTTTAGTGTGAGCCTTAATAAAGAAACCAATGTGACATTTGCCCAAATAAAGATGGACCCTCAATTAACATCTTCCCCCACAATTAGTAATAAATATAGTTTATTTATTTATTTATTTGTCGAGCATGTATTAGATAACAGGTATAAGTATAAAGTTGATCATTAGTACATGAAATGGATACGAATCAAAGGGAACATTAGGACAGGGGACGGCAGGCATGTAGGTGCCCTTATGCACGCTTTGAATCTCCTGCGTGGCGGAAGGAGCAGGGTGCAGCTCATGCGCGAAGAATCAAGATAGACAGAGGAGCTAGATAGAAATCAAACATGAAATTTATCTTCATAGGACATTAAAACGGCTGCAACCACACAAAGTCAGTTACATTTTCCAGAGGTAGGAGATACAAATCAAATCAGCAGTTTGATCAGTGGCTTTTTTGCAGCTATTTTGCATTATAGGATTACCTTCTCCCCCAAATAAAATCTCCAAGAATGAGAGGGTTAAAAGAACATTCTCTTACTGAAATGAAAAAGCATTGCTTTCCAAGGATATCCAGAGATATGCAGTTTCCTTGTAAAATGTCAATTAAAGGCAGTGGGAGATGGCAGTGATATGTCCGCTTATAAAAGGGGCTGCTGAGTTTTGTTTAACAACAGCCTCTTTGCCTTCCATAAAAACCTGTTTGAGGTGAGGTTCCAGCTGGTTACCCTTTCCTCAAACTGTCCAGTGATTTCCTTGTCATTTGATTTATGCTTTTATTAACAGTAATTGAATAGTTTTAATCCTCTTTTTTTTAGCACTGTAAGTCAGCTTTGGAACCTGCAGTCAACCAGATGTTTCTGGCCTGTAACTCTTATTCACACTGCCACATTGACCCTGCCGAGTTCTTCAATTCTCTTCTTTTACTTCTCCTAGAGAAAGACAATGTTGTCCACCTCCGTGGTGGCTCTGATCTGGTTGGTCTCCTTGAGGACCTGGTCTACAGCTTTGGATCCAACCCTGGAGGGGACATGGAGAGACTGGAAAGCCACTCACGGTAAAGAATACATTCAGGTGAGTTTGCTCCAGTGATACTCAAATGAAACTACTATATTCCGGTTTAACAGTTCCAATACACACTAGGGGCTGAGTTGGCTGTCTCTCTTGATGTTTTCAGAGCCTTCTGCAGGTTGTGCCCTACAGGAACAAAAATCCTACTTTCATTTCAAGTGTTCCAATTTCGTACCTTGATTGCAACTTAGAATAGCAACGTTGATAAACTTACTTTCTGCTACCTGTCTTCAGACATTGTTTTGCAAGATATAATGTCCTGGGTACGAAATGAAAATGGAAGGAGTTTTGTCCATTCCTGGGTGATTGCATTCTAGTCTGAGAAATCTTTTATGGAAGAGAAGAACGTGAGTTCTAGATCTTGTAGGTGCCTGTTTGGGGAGATGGGACTAAGGGGTCTTCCTGATCTTGCCTTCCCAGGAGGAGGAAGAATCCTTTCGAAGAGCCGTGTGGGAGGATAATTTGAAGATGATTCAAGACCATAACAAGCAGGCTGACCTGGGAAAATACACCTACTGGCTTGGCATGAACCACTTTGGTGATTTGGTAAGCCTGGAACTAACTGACTGACTTACTGACTGACTCTCTGTCTATCTATCTCAAATTTCTTTAGTCACCCAACTCTTATTGATGAGGCATAGACATCTCTTTTCCTAGAAGTTCCAGATGCCGAATCGATTATCTCCACTTCCCATATGAAAAACCTCAGGAGAAAGATCGGGGTGCTTCCTCTTTCTCAAAGGCACCCAGTGAGCTTCCATGACTGAAGCGATGATGAACTTGTCTCTTTCTAGTCCATGGTTTTTATAATCGTACTATACCGCAGAACTTGAATCCAATAACAACGTTATATTGATAGGAATAGAATAGAATTCTGTATTGGCCAAGTGTGATTGGACACACAAGGAATTTGTCTTTGGTGCATATGCTCTCAGTGTATGTAAAGGAAAAAAAACACAATACATTCATCAAGTATCAGTATATATATATATCAGTGTTGTATTGGTGACCGCATGATTCCAAGTCTGCCACCTGGCTTTCTCATTTATGTCATATTGTAGCTTCCAAATGCCAAGAGCACATCAAGCAGACCCAGCCAAAGGTTTGAGTATGGAGTGCTAATATTCCACCATATACGAACACATAATTTTTACAATGGATGGGTTTAGCCATCACCATGAATTCATCTTTACCATTTCTCCCAGTCTATTATCCAGACTGGGAATGCTAGAATTTTCTCTGTCAGGCATTTGAGCTGATTCATAGAGGCTGAGGAATTCTGGGAATTGATGTCTTGACATCTTAAGAGTTGCCAAGATTGAGAAATGCTGCAATTATACAAACTTCCCTAAGACAACCAGCTTGGTGACTAGGGCATAGGTTTCTTCATAACATATACTCTTTGCATTTGATCATGGGATAAAACTTATTAAGGCGAAAGATGAGAAGTGGAAATGGAGATCGGTTGAGATTGTTCTTCTCCTCCTCAGACCAATGAAGAGCTCCGGAAGAGGCTGCACTGCCTGCTCTCTGGCTCTGAGAACGTAACTAAAGGCAACGGGATCACATTCAAATCCTCAGAGGATCCAGATATTCCTGACCAGGTGGACTGGAGAATCAAAGGTGCTGTCACCATAGTCAAGGATCAGGTGGGTTGTGGTAGATGGTTCTGGGTATTATGTAGAGGTGTTTTTAAGGAAGAGTGTTATGCTCTGCCCATTGGGCCACAAGTCAGAATTTGACAGATTCACAAAGATTTGCAGATAAAGCTAATTTCTTTTCACTCTTAACTTCACTCCCAAAACTTCAATTCTGTCGGAAGTAATTTTGGCCCAGCTGCTTACTGCCAAGTACTGAGAGCAAGTAACTTATTAAAGGAATATAAATTGAGAACATTAAATCAGTGGAGTAGCTTCCTCCAGAGGTTGTGTGTATTGTATCACTGGAAGTTTTCAAGAAGAGATTGGATAGCCATTTGTTTGCAATGGTATAAGATCTCCAGCTCAAGCAGAGGGCTGGACTAGAAAATCTCTGTGCTCCCTTCCAACTCTCTTATTCGGTATTCTGAGTTTTCAGATACTCAGATACTCCATCTTTTTTCCCCTTAAACGCAGGGTGATTGCGGCTCTTGCTGGGCTTTCAGTGCCACTGGTGCTTTGGAAAGCATGCATTTCAAGAAGACGGGGAAGCTGGTCTCACTGAGCGAACAAAATCTTCTGGACTGTTCTGAGGAGAATTATGGGTGTGGTGGTGGATGGATGCACCTAGCTTTTGAAACTGTGCAGAAGCAAGGTGGGATCAATTCAGAGAAAAGCTACCCTTATGACAGACAGGTAATAAATGATCTGAGTATGTGTATCTCCTGGTCCGTTCCTTCTGCATGCTTCAAGCTGAACTGTTCTGCTCTATGTCTCTAGCTGATAACGCCTCCAGCAATAGGATGGAAAAGGCTTGAGTCCTGGGTGGAGACAATTACTATTAAAGCCCATCAACCACAACATTTTCTTAGGATCACTGTTTTCTTCTGCAGGATGGGGAGACTTGCCACTTTGATCTCGAGGAATCTATCACCAGATGTAATTCATACGGAAAGATCATGAAAGGGGATGAAAAAGGACTTCAGGAGGCTGTGGCCAAAATTGGTCCAGTTTCTGTTGGAATAGATGCTGGGAGTAGCAAATTTAGCTTCTATAAGTCAGGTACGTTTCCCGAGAGCTCTCACAGTTGACTTTGTGGTTCTTGCCATCTCCTTTGTCAACTAGTACTCAACACTGATGAGGCTATGCTGCATCTAAGTATTAAGGGGTTATGTTGTTGTTGTTTTCAAAATGGTGAGAACAAGGAGAGCTTTTCGTTTATTTCAGGTCAGCTTATGGAGCTTGTTCTGTTAGGTTTGCTGATTGTTTTGAAGACTTTGCTTTGATAGGTTCACATGGTGGCACAATGATTGGAATGCAGGCTGACTCTGGCGACTGCCAGCAGATTGATTCTCACTAGGATCAATGTTGACTCAGCCTTCCATCCTTCTGAGTCGGTAAAACGAGGACCCAGATTGTTGGGGGAAATAAGCTGACTCGGTAAACCACTTAGAAGGGCTGTAAAACACTGTGAAGCAGACAAAACAGGAAAGGGGAGCGGAGAGAAACGGTCCAGTTGCCAAGGTACGCCAGAGTAGGAGGCCAGCGAACCAGAGAGCTTCTTCCCCGTTTTCCCAGGAGCATGGGACGTCTTGCGACCCGGCCCTGAGCTCCCTTGCAGTTTGTTCTGCTGCTGGAGGATGGGCTGAAATTGTTTTACCTTGCCCCAAGCCAGCTCCTTGCAGTCACCCATGTCAGGATTGTTGCAGGAAGTCTCCCCTTTCGGGGTCTTTTTGTACACATAGGAGGGGGGAAGGCATTCTAATTTGGGGTCTGCTTCAGGCTGGTGCTGCCGGTGGCGAAGAGCTGGAGGCCCTTGTTCCAGTGGGACAGCATCAAGGCCGGGAACTGGCTGACCATCTCAGCCCGCTGAGCCTCCAGGTGCCAGGACCTGGCCTTGCATTCCTGCAGGTCTTCCCTCTGCTTGGAAAGCCTATGCTCCTAGTCCTCGGTGAGATGCTTCTGCTGAGCCTTCTGCTCAGTCAGATCCAATTTGAACTGAGCCAGCTGTTTTACAAACTCTTTCTCCTGGGGGCTGCTTGCTCCAACCACTGCTTTCCAGATTGGATCCTGCAACATTTGTATCTTATCGCTTTATTTCCCCCTATCAACTATGTAATTTGTTTTATTTTATTGGTAAGATTGCAAGACTGATCAATCAACTACTAGTATGTTAGAAGTAAAGCTCAGAATTTTCCTTGAGCTACACCACAAGTACATAAACCCTCCTCAATGGATAAGAGGAGAATGTTTGTAGGGTTGAAATGAGGGGGCTTTGGTGCTGAGTTTGGTTGTTTTCTTGCAGACGTTTCATCAGGGGAGATGTTACCTAGTTGGGTTATGAAATGTCTGCTAGAAAACAGCCAAGCTCAGAAAGCACCAAGGACCCTTTCTCAATATATCTTATTTTCAGAGTGACTTTCTTCTCCAGCACAGGATAAAATATGTAGTTAAACGGACAAAACAAGAAAACCTAAAAGACACCAATGAAAAATAAGAAATCTGATTAACATAGTCCTGGGGGGAGGGGAGGGAGGGAGAGTGAAAGAGACCCTCTCTTGAGCCCCGCCCTGGAGCTTCCTGTTCCTGCGTCTGATTGGTTGTCAGACTCCCATGGAGTCATGCAGAGGTAACTTTGTAGGTTGTCTTGAGTCCCAGGCTTGGTTGAATCTTGCTGGGTGATGATGTAATGAAGAGGGTTAACTGGCTGCCAGCAAGGATGGGTTATTCACTAGGTCATTTCTTATTCTCTTTATCCAGGAATATATAAAGAAAACTATGATGGAGAAAAGCACTTAAATCATGGTGTGCTGATTGTGGGTTATAACCATTCCAGCAAGGGCAATGGCTATTGGATAGTAAAGAACAGGTGAGTAAACAGACATCAATCTGCAGAAGTGTAAGAAATGAGAAATTTACTTACTGTATAACTTACTTGTAATTCCCATGGGATTTTCGTCACAGAGCAATTTTACTTTATTTTATTTATTAAATTTATTGGCCGCTGAGCTTATCAAAGGGTAACTCTGGGCAGATTACCATGTTAAAATTTTGCTTCTCCCAAGAATGTCCTTTAGCTGGGTTAGAAGACAATGTACTTGGAGATGGTGGGTGTTGTACTCCAACTCATGCCGAGGAGGTTAGCTGAGGAAAGTGATCTTCAAGTAACATCACCTGAAAATAGAATGGAAAGCTCTTTCTTACCTGGAGTAAGTGGGTATTTGTACTCTGTGCCTTAGCTTTCTGTAAAAATGGACAAGGAACCCACAATATTCTCAGAGTGTATCTGCCTTATAACCCCTATCTTCTCTTACTATTCCATGTGAAGATATTATGCTGCGCTGTGGGAAATTGCAAATGAATTCTCATTGGGGCCAAATGTATCCAAGTTAGCTAAACTATTATAGAATATCAATGCTAAAATAATTCTATATTCCAATACCAATGTTTAGCCCGTCTAACCTTTAAAGCTAAGCATTATATGAAAGAAAACAAAAAAACAAAAACCAGATACTAGAGCAGTATATGCCTTCAATTAACAGCCGCTCATAATGTGATATACACCCAAGGTCACACTGAGGGGAGGATACAGTGCCCCGTTTATGCAGTGAGACCCAGCAGATGCTGTGTGGGGTCTGCAGGATGAACGTATCCAAATCTTCCTTTGCTTAGGTTCCATCTCGTAGTCAGGTTGCATAGTTTCTGTGAAGCCATGGACCAGGAAGTTAGTCTAATGTTGCCATATAGCTCCTCTATTAAAGATGGCTGCCTCCTGTTAACACATGGTAAAAAGTCTCCTTTTGCATCGTGATTTTAGAGATGGCAAAACTTCAGCTAGAATCTTGAACGATCCACTGTGGCGTGGAATTGCAGAGAGTGAATGACTAGAATGAATGAGCTGGAAGGGATTTTGGAGGCCTTCTAGTCCAGCCCCCTGCTCAAGCAGGAGAACCTAGACTATTTCAAGTAAGTGACTGTCTAGAACTCTAGATGAAATGTTCTGTATTCTTACCTTCACAGCTGGTCCACTCTTTGGGGTGAGAAAGGTTACATGCGCTTAGCCAAAGGATCAAATGAATGCAACATCGCCGATTACGCCGTCTTTCCTCTCCCAGATCCAAAGAAGGGAATGTAATCTCTTCTTTCAGCATAAGGATCATTTGAAATGCAGAGCTAAAAGTCTCCAATAAATGACCTGCTGCTTCTGAAGCTTCTGGAAAAAAAGAAAAAAAATGTTAATAAATGCTTTTGTGCAATGCTACGCAGAACTGACCCAGCACATTCGGTTCCGTTATGTGTATTTGTTTGTTTGGGACATTAGTATTGGTATAAATGTGGTTTATTTCCCTATGGAGTGTCAGAATTCCTGATGCATCTGGCATGGTAAAAAAGCACAGGAAAGATGCATTACCTCTGTTTGACACTGTTTATTTGGTGCAATGCCAAGAAGTGTGCTCTCCAGACTACATCACACATCATCACCCATTGAGAGCCCTCAGTACACAAATTGGCATGCCTTTGTGGGAAGAAATATCCAACTGGTTCAGTTCCAAGTGGTGAGAAAGACACTGGAAACATGGAGGCTGATTGGAAAGATAGTTTATTGATGGACAGGACCACATGAGTTTGAGGCCCTGGTCCAGCTGAACATATGGAGTGGAGAGTGAGGATTATTTATACCCTCTCTTGGGCCTTACCCTCGAGCTTCCTGTTCCTGTGGGAAGGGCATATATTCTATTGGTTTCTGTCAGACTCCCATGGGGCTATGCAGGGGTAATAGCTGATTTTATAGGTTATCTGAGTCAAGCTTGGTTGAAACCTCACCCTGAAGCCATCACCCAATTGGAAGGCCCATATTTCCTGCCTTTCCCCATCTCTGAGGCACAATGACTGGAGACACAGGCACCTATTATTATTACAATGTTAGGTTTTTTATCCTTCCTTTTAATATAGAACTCAAGGCAGCAAAAACACACATACCTTCTGCCTCCTATTTTCCTCACAAAAACAACACCGTGAGGTGGGTTTGACTGAGAGAAAGAGTGACTGGCCCAAAGTCACTCAGTTAGCTTATATAGCTAAGGCGGGCCTGGAACTCATTGTCTCCATATCTAGGCCAGCACTTTCACCACTACTGCAAACTGGCTCTCTTTTACTGCTCAGGGGATAGCATTTTTTAAATTTTGTTTTTATTCAGAACAACAGGCATTGCCTATTTGTGGACTTCAGCTCCCAGAATTCCTCAGCTGTATTTATAAACCTCTTTCCAAGGGCCACAGAGATTGTTGGAGCCTGTGATTGGTGCAGAGAAGGGACCCATCACCCAATCAGCACGCTCATTAAAAGAAACAGTTGGAGAGAGGAGGATTTACCCAACAGTATTGATAGATTATGGATCTGTTGTATAATATTAAGTGAATGTATTCTAACTGTTTTAAATGATTAAAACGACTCTGCTGCTCTACAGTTTCCCCACATTCCACCCAGTCCTGTTACCTCACAGCCATAAAGAAACAGGGAAGAAAAGCAAAACTGAAAATTTAGCAGCAAGACCACTAGAGATTTCTGAGTTAATGGGATTACCGTTTGATTTGAAAGAAAAGAAAGAAAAGAGAAAACAAAAGGGAGAAGAGAAGAGAAGACTAGGGGAAGAGAAGAGATCCATAGGACATACTGGAGACACGCCAGCAGCACAGGATTTCATGCCTGAATGAGAATTTAGGGGTCAAACTAAGTTTCTCACCCAAATACACTTAGCCAAGGACACTGAAACTGTCATAAAATATTTAGAAAGCCAAGGAAAGTTGAAATGCCCAGAAAGACCTGGGAGACATGTAATCTTTGGGAATTTTGATGCTTCTAAATAAAATAGGGGAAATACCTCCTACAATTCATTATCTCCTAGAAATTAGCAATTAAGAAGAAAGATAGTGAAAAGGCAGAATATAAGAAAATATTCTGAGGTAAAATTTGTCCAAAAAGACATGGTTGGCAAGTAGAAGTGGAAAAGATGGGGATACTGAGGTAGTTCTGGACATCGCAGCTAACCAAAAGGCAACTATGGCTATAGAATAACAGAGTTGGAAGGAACCTTGGAGGTCAACTCTCTGCAGAAAACCTTACACCACATTGAAGACATAGAATGAGACTTTTTAATAAAGGAATGGAGGGGAGAGGTTTTCCTCATGAAGAAGAGAGTTAAAAGAGACAAAGCTCACAATGAAAAAAGCAGGAAAACAGATAAACTACTTTTGAGCATATCTGAAAGAAAAGCTACCTGTTGAAGAGAGATTGAACGATGGAAAGGTTTACTTTATTAATTACTAGCTGATAACCCTCCGTTGCTCCAGTATTTATTTATCCCGTTATTTCCTGTGTTAGACAGGAAAATCCTGCAGTCGAGACTCACGCTGTTGTACTATCTGTTGTGCAGTGTTGCAATTCTTCTATTCCTCCACAAGAGGGAGTCCTGTGAAGCTGTTACCATTGCAGAAGTCATTTTAAGGCGCACAAACACATACAGACACACACACACACACACACACACACACACACACACACACAAACTGAGGGGTTTTAGGGGAGTCTTACCCCCAGAGTATTTGTTTCCAGAGGGTAAGTCATCTGTGTACCAAGTTTGGTTGAAATTGCTCAAGGTGTTCCAGCATTATGCTGCAATATACGTACACTACAGCCTTTTAAAAAAATAAAATAACAAGAAGAAAGAAGATGGAAGAAGATAAATAGATAGATTTTGCCCAGAGCCCCTCTCTGAGGGAAATGGGAGGTTTAAAAATATGAAATACGAATAATTTATTAAATTTATATAAAGTTGAAGGTAGAGACTTAAATGTTGGAGGAAGATCAAAGAAAACATGACGAAGTACTTCATATCAAACCACAATTGCTGTTACAATTACAAGGCACTCCTAAATGCTCTCTCTCTCACACATATAGCTTAGGGAAGACTCCCTAAGAAGACTCATTGAAGATGTTACCTAGTTGGGTAACATCTGCAAGAAAACAATCAAACTTAGGGTACCAAAATCTTCACAAAATCCCTATACTATTCTGAACAATTTTGAAAGGGTAGCAAATAAATGGAAAGCTCAAGATGATGCAGTGGCAATTGACTCCTATACAAGAAGAGTTAAGAGAAATGTATACAGAATTTCCAGAGGACTGGGCGGCTCTTGGTGATGTTCAAACTAGCAGTTTATGGGCTATTTAAAATGTGTCTTTAAAAAAAACAAAAACCTTTGCAAAGCATGAAAATTGTTAACTGAACTTGATTTATATCTCAATTATTAAAGAAACTGATAGACACTGTGTGTAAGTGCACCATCGTGCCTACCGTCCCTGTCCTATTGTCCCCATTTATTTGTACCTATTTCCTGTATTCTTACTCATGTTTATTCTTATACCTATTATCTTGTAAGCGATTCACAAATCAAATAAATAAATCAAATAAATAATAATAAGATACATTCCCAAAGAAGTGTGTAGAATTGACAGGATTTTATCAGCACTTACTGGGCACTCTAAAAACATTCTGTTGAAGAGTATTGGGCCTAAGACGGAGTCTAAGGTGTTCTCTTATCTTTTTCTTGCTTACTTTAATTTTTATTTCTAGTTTGCCTTTTGCACTGAAAAAGAAAAACAACAAATTGAAGAATATTTGGGGAATTATACTATTAATACAGCAGGACCTCTGGTCATGACTTTGGTCTCAACCTGATTTGGTCGTGACCTGAACCTAACCAAAATTAATGCAGCGGCCGCAGGTGGGTTGCTGTTGTTTGGCATTTACAAAAAAACCCGGTTTGGTTGTGGTCAGAAGCGTCCGTGACCAGAGGTTCTACTATACTTCCATTTTTGAAAAGCCACAATAGTGGCTACATCTTAAAACCCAAATTAAAGGATGCATGTAGGCAAACAGTGCTAGTTTTAACACCCAGATAAGCAGGGATTCACACCAGACAATCAGAAAGACAGTCCAGCAAAAACAATGCCCTAATCAAGGCACTACCAAAGAGAAAACCACAGTCCTACCACTACTGGCAGGACAAACAACAATATATAAACAAGGAGGAAAACCCCACATTCACTAACAGGGATGATGTTCCTTAGTCAGGTAACAAAATCTCTACTAGAGAAGTAAACGACACCCCAACAAAGGAACTATCAACTCAGACGAAG